CAGCATGCCCCAACTATCTGACAGTAATTCGCATACAAAAATTCTTAGAACAAAGTAAATATAGAGTTTTTGCGATTTTTTTTTTAGCATTTGTACGTCCTTTGCATAGACAAGGTATTCCTCGAAATCCAATACAGCCGTATATGGAAATCATCCCGTCCCAGATATGGTTGAGGAAGAGTAGCAAAAACAAGACCTTCATTCAATATGCGTCTCATCAATGAGCTAGGTTAGATTGCGATTAATAAGTGATTACTATCGACAAAGAGCTTGGGAAAAAGAGAAAGACAACAGACTCCTCATTCACTCATTCCTTACCACAAACATTGAATGAACAACGCTATCTACAAATCTTCTGGATTCCTGTTTTTTATAAATAAAACTTGCTGATGTTTCACCAATCATCTTGGCTTCTTCAGAGCTAAACTGATTCTGGCTCGCATTCTACTCTCTACCAGCTTATTTATTGGTTGAGGGGTGCGGATCTAAAGGAGGGAATGAACATTGTCTCGGATAACGGATTCCCATAATGGAGCAAGGTAAAGATCTGAATAGTTGTTAAAATAGTTTGATTGGTTATAGATTTCTTTAGATTCTCCGATTTTTTGTTGGTAGAAGATTATATGCAAGAATTTTAGTTTTATCGAATAATATGTGATGTCTGGTTTCGTGGTTGTGTTCGGCACCTGCTGATAAGTTTATTTATTCCAACTTCTTTGAGCGTGGTATCTCGAAATTTTGTCTTTGACGGATCGAAAATGTTGAGGAATTGTTGGGCAAGTGGTAAATCTGAACTACCTTTGGTATACGGTCAATGATGTTTTGAATGTACGGAAGGGCAACAGTGGCAAATGTGGGGTTGCTTTCGGGGTCATTGTCTTTGGAAGGTTGTGGTGAAGTGTATTTTGTTATAGAAAGCGTAATATCTCAAATGTGGAAATTATCAGAGAGAACAGCAGATGCAAGGTGTTTTAATTCTTGGTTCACTGGATTGGGACGGAAAAATAAATTCTTGCAAAAGGTTCCAACTTCGTCCTTGTCCCACGTATTATCTCAAAAAAAAATCATTTCAAATGTCAAGTATGTCCTATATAAACTGCCATCTCAAACAGCTAATAAAATTAGATTTGAAATCTAAAAAATCCTTAAAAAATGCAAACGTCCTAATTCTAATATTTCTAAAGTCGGAACTCATTGCTCTAAAATATCTAAAATCTAATTCCGAAGTAGTAATTCCAAAAACTTGATAAAGGAAATGTTACATTGGTCAGGAACACAATTGAATATCAGGAGAAAATTCAAAACTGACTTTAAACTTTAAATCTATTATTAAGGCTTCTCTATCAGAATCCATGAACAAGTGTAATCCTTAATGAATCTGAAATTTCTCGTCTTAAAGGACTCTTAAAGGAGAAATTCAGAAACCAGGATTACCTCTTCGACCTATTGTCAGTAGCAACATATTCTCTAGAAAAATATCTAGCTTCTATGTTAAAACCTTTTAATGGCAAAACTAATAGTGTCGTACTTAATTCATTTCACTTTATTCTACAATTAAAAACCATAACATTAGATCTATTCCTATTCCCGAAACTCTGAATGTTATTTCAGATATCCGAGAATCAGGAACCAAACCTTCTCATCTTGAAAAATGATTTTCTGTAACATATTTTTCTTATAACGGTCAAATTTATGAATAAACGTCAGGAACAGTTATGTTTTCTCCATTATTACCAGTCATCGTGAATATATTTACGGAAGCCTTTGAGAAGAAGGCCATGAAACCTAACCGAAATTATGGAAACGCGACTGTTGATGATACTTTTTTCATTTGGCCTCAAAAATATATAAGCAGGTACAGAGGCAGTTTCAATTTAGCTCTGAAGAAGCCAACAGGATGTTTGAGGAAACGTCAGCAAGTTTGAAAAGTTTCTTTGATAAAAAAATTGAACAAACAAATTTTTAATTGAATAATGTTACACCAGAAAATACTGAAATTAGAGGTCATATCCGATAAGGAAAAAAATTTTTTTCTTCTCCCGTCTGTAAAATACCTAATTACACAACAATCTAGTGTGCGGAAAGAATCGCTTTACCACATCAGTTTCGTTTCTCACGGATTCGACCCACCTCGGATATTTCCGGGATTTTACTGCACGAATTTGGGAGCAATCGGATGTTTTCGGAGATATTTTGACTGTCATGTCAGTTGTTTTGTGTACCCACTTTTTAAGTCACTCGTTTATTAAAGACTTACTCACTGTTGGATAATGTGGAGATGACTAACAACGACGTGCTACACAAAGAACGTCTTATGACCAATTTATTTATTATATTATACTATATGTTATATATTGTTATATATATTATTTATTAGTAATTTTGGTTTTATGGATGAGAAGGCGCGTTCTCACAGAGCTAGGAGCAATATTCTCAATTGAATAGCTGGAGTAGCTACGTACTACCAGAAATATAGTGTTTTGACAACCGACCCGTGATTAACTTTGCCTACTGTTTATTACTCCAAAACCGCAGCCCTTTGTAGAACACTCTGCCCAGCAGACTCTTACCCATAACCATTCCAGGACCATCCTAGGAATTTATCTACCTACACTAACACGCGGGATATAAGTATGTTTCCAATCTTTTTCGCCGAGAAATTTTTCAAACATGTACATAAAGAAATTAGTACCAAGTAACAATTTATTACGTTCTATTTCATTACATTTCTACATAGTATCAATATTAATATACAAAATATTAAAATCAATAATAATAAAGTATCATCAGTCACATAAGACAAAAATGATTATTTTCGAACTTACCTGTAAGATAAATAGATTACAAGTACTTACCTATAGCCTTTGCACTATAAAGTGAACACAGCCTCGCAGGGTCAAAGCTCGAGAATCAAGTACATAAATACGTACTTACTGGAAGGATCACAATCAAATACCTCCGTAATATATACGAACATATTGCAATTTTGAATAAACTCTTAAGAACGATACATATCACCTGTTGTTAAAATAAACGGTCCATTTAAGTCAAACTCAAGTCCCTACAAATATTCGTTACGGTCTATCTCAGGCAAGACCTACTTATTGCAGAATAAACATCTGTTGGTATGAGCTTTACCATGGTCATGTGAAGGTCTGCTATAATTTTGGCCGCATTATAGCACCAAGTATAATACGATAAATAGCTTTAGCAAAAAAATATTGAAGCTTTTTTGTTTATTTCATAAAGAATTTAATCCATTAATGAGTTTATAAAATGAATGATTAGAGTCAGCGCAGCAAGTTTTATTTTTGCATTTATCTTGAATTTAATAATTTAATTAATAAATCATTAATTTAATTTATTAATTTATTTAATTTTTCTTAATCGTTCTAAATTGACCATAAAATAATATAAAATTCTATTTGATCTCACATCTCAGCTTACGGTCAAAAACTCATTTTCGCAACCTTTTGCTACAGCGGCTTCACAGCATAGCATAACATTTACGTAAATTAAAGGCTAATTTGTGGACTCGCAAAATTATGCATTCCCACCAACAGCGTCAAAATTAATTTGATGCTGTAAAAGCCGAATGAGAAATACCCTTTTTGAGAAAAAATGCAAATTTGGTGGGTCATAAACGTAACCAACTCGAATAACTGACAGATATGGGGATTTGTAAGATAATGAGATAAATGCAAAAATAAATTTATTGTATAAAATTTAGCTAGAAAACTCTAGTTGAATATCAGAATATTCATAACGTTATAGAGGTTGTAAAAATAAAATAAGCAACCAACTATAAAGTTTAAAAAATTTAGGGGACTTAAAAGATTGACTGAGTTGGTCGTATCAGTTTCAAAAACTTCTTGACATCATATAAATCATGGCTATAAATTTCAATATTTCTTACGAGAAACGATTCCAACGATTTAGTGGAAAGCTCTCCCTCTATGAAAGAAAATTACCCTTGAGATATTATAAAGGTAGTAGCACTTGCAGTATCCGGATTTTGTATTCAAAACAAGTCAAGAACGGCAGTTAAAGAGAACCGCAAGATGTCAATTCCAACAGACCAGGCCTCTACAAAGAGTCTTTAGAGAATACTACATATATGAAGAGTAAAACGCTCTCAAAACACAAACTTTAAGACTTGAAGAAAGAAGAAAGAAATGGAAAATGCTATTTTCCTGTCGAATTACAGTGTAGCCGCTAATTAAATGGAGTATACAGGCAAATCATCATCGACTTGGTTTTAAAATTATCTTGAACCTCTTAAACGAAATACATTTGAAAATGTCGCCTAGGTTTTTCAAAACTAAATGTGGTTACTTACCTTAAATTTGCAGCCAGAAGTAAAAGCAGAAATACAAATTCAATTTTTCCATTTTCTATACCATGGATCTTCAGATAAAATACAATACGTAGGTCATTAACTTGGACACTAAATTGCTGTAGAATAACAGATGCTCTATTTTAATCCCAATTGTTGGGTAGGTCTTTGATTTGGTTTTAAAATTACCATTAAAATTTAAACTTTTGAAAACATCCTCTAGTTCTTTTAAAACTAACTTACTTTATATTTGCAACCAGAAGCACCACTTGCAAGTGGCACTTGTTTTGCATATGTCTGGAAATCGCAATACAGAGCTCTGTTCTCTGTACTCGGTGGTTAAAACATGTTTAGCAACGCATCAGTTATTTGTTTCTAAATGGCTTGGGAGATACAAATCATTGAACCACAAAACTAAATTTATTTTTCATATAGAAAAGATTATCTTTTAAAATTTTGAGACCAATTTGACTTCTATGAGAAATGTTAAAGATATTAATTAGTAGAAATAGAAATTCCATTTTTTCATTTTCCAAACTGTGGACCTTCAAATAAGATATAATAATAGGAAGGTCAGTGATCGTTTTATAATCTATGGATAAGCAGGATCTTAAGTATTAACAATACGATTGTTTCAAATAAAACAGCTACTTATTTTCGTGCTTTATTTTTAAAACAATAAAATTTCATTCGGTTGGGGGGAACCCCTAATACTGATTTTCCATTATGATTAGACTCGTTCGATTTAAAAACTCTCCGCCTACACATTAATTATATAACATATCGTAACTCCTCTGAATTAACTTAGTGCCCTATTTTAAAAATATAGACATCTTATATAAACATAAGCGGACCTCGCTTGATATTTCGTGTTTTCAAATTTGATCCCTCACGTTCCTATCGTTCCCTATAAAGAAGGCGTCCGACATTTACAACACACTAGACCCGTGTTTCATCACATGCCCGTTACCTTTGACTACCAAAACGTCCGATCCCCTTATCATCGCCAAACTCTCGACCATACTTCTACTACCTTTCAGCATGATCTTGGGCGTGTCGGTAGTCAGAAGGAACCTCGAGCTGCCGTAGAACATCTTCTGGCTTTCCATGCTCGACAGCATCCCGGAACTTTCCGGCCTCGCCATTGGTACCAAGAGGAAGTCACCTTCCGACTTGATACAGAGACCGTCTCTTTGTACGTGGTTGATGAAAGTGGCAGGTTCCCCGGCCGTGGCAGCCACGCTAGGAGCTATTTGGTCTCGGTCTGATATCTGATGGCTTCGATATGTGAACCCGAGGGTAGTTAGAAAATCGTCGACCACCCTTCGCACTGCAGCACGCAGTTCGGCATTCCGATAGCCGTAGATCCAGGGATTGAATGCACTGCTGCACAGTATCGGAAGAGCGAGATAAATTGACGTAAAGGTTGTCAGGATGTTCGTCTCGTAGAACACGTCCATCAGCATGCAAATCTGAAAAGGAAAAGAAGCAGCTTTTAGATTTGATTTGTAAATAATTTTTATATTGACCGTTCCAGTACATCGCTAGAAATTGCCACTGGTACAGCAATCATATTTTAATTCTTCCAAACAAACATCTTGGAGATTTCATAGAGGTGGGTTCGGCTAATAAAAACAGAGTTGCAGTGGAGTTGGAGTAGGTTTTTGTCACGTGAGTTAACTAACGGCTCTAGAAAAAGAATAGTATGCACACATTCGGTTTGCAAACCATTGGTTGGCAACATTTAGTAACCGTTGTCACTCGTTTATATAATAAACTATTATTTGCTAAACGTATTTTTAGCCACTGCTTTTTATACAATACTTTTAATTGTGACAACTCAAACGCTCAAATAAACCGATCGTTTAACTCAAAACACCAAAATATTGATTTATTTGTCATTTTTAATTTTCATGTCATACAAATGATTAAGTGTATGTTGATTCAGGGAATAGTTTGTACATCAAAGATTATAAATAAGTCAATTTACCAGAATTTTTAAACATTTGCCTGTAAAAATCGACATTTCCCTTTAAAAATATTTAAAATGTAGGTACATATTTTGAAAAAGTCGTTTCTTATTCAGTTTTCTACAAATTTCTCATCTTTTCATATTTTTACAATCCAACTTTTTTTAAATTTAATTTTAATTTACTACTTGAAAAGACTATAATCAATACTTTAATAAACCGTTTTCCCTTAACTATATCGCTCAAAGAAAATCTTCAAATATTCTTATGGAGCTCGTCAAAACATTCAAGATGCATATGGTTTTAATATTTGAAAACCAAGTAAACAAAATTGAGTAAAACAAAAATGAGTAATTGGCCAAAAAAAAATATAACAACAAGTTACGTTACGTTACCTCTTTGAATTGGAATAAAATTTTATTTGGTTTTAAAATGCCAAATCCATATAATAAACTTTTTCGATTTCTTTAGGTGCATTATTTTAGAAAAGACAACTTTCCTCTGATGTACAAAAAGCATGTCTTAGTTTGATGTGGTATTGAAATATATTTTTGCTCAGACTTTACCTTGATATAGACAACAAAAGGTCTTACCCTCCTTATTTTAATGAAATTATAGATAATATAAAGCAGAAACATATTGCTTATCAAAGTTATCTTAAGTTTAAGACCGACCGTTTAGAAAAAAAATTAGTGAAGCGGCAGATTGATCTGTCTATGCCCTCTGAGTTTAACACTCCTGAAGCAATAGTTGACGGTTTTGCACAGCTCTTTTCAAGTGCATTTTAATTACGCTGTGGCGATTATAATAATGTTTTCGTTCAAGTTGATTTCATTTTAGCGGAGTATATTATCAAAGCATAAATGAAATTAATCCCCAATATCCCCAGTTTCGTTGTAAATGATTGCATAAGTGCATTTATTGAGGATCAGCTTATCCAGAGATATGAAAAAAAACTAAAATTGCATGAGTGCATTTATTGAGGATCAGCTTATCCAGAGATATGAAAAAAAACTAAACCGTATTGGTATGTAAGTGGACTAATCCAAATGTTCTTCCTAAAACTGCTAATTTGGTGAGTCGTCTGTCACTTCAAGCGCTTGTAGAATGCCCTCTAGTTGATTGAGAATCTGTTGTGATGACGCTGCAAATCGCTTACTTCGTAGCGCTTGAGTCTCTTGGCTGTCGCCGCCAATCTCTGTTGCAATATGTCCAAGATTTGTAAAGTGGTTGGATTTTCGCTGGTACGTTCTCGGTTAACAATTACCTGCGCTTTCCTAGCGGATTTTGGCTTCAGATTATTTCCCTACGCCTGTGTGAGTAATCCGACTTCCTGTCGCAAACGATAATCTTTTTGTTCAACCTTTTTTACACGCTGGGGTCGAGCTCCGTGCATTTCCGTCCCTCAGCTCATTGCAACGCTCGTTATGTTTGCTCGAATGTTTTTTGTTAAATTTGATTTCAACACTATTAGCAGACTCCGTAGCATCAGCGGGCTCCGCCGCAGTCTGCAGGTGGTGGTTTTCCAACAACAGTAGAGGAGGTTATTCTTCCAACATAATACCTAGCTCCGTCATGACATCACGTTTAATCTCGTTAATTCTTTGAGCTGTAAAATGGTGACCTGTTAAAAGTGACCCTTTTGGTCTATGTTTGGAACGTTCTTGTGTCTTAGCTGAAAGTATTGTTCGCTGACCAGTCGGTGAAGCGCGTGTAGTGCCTCTTACTTGTCTCCACTCTCGGAAATAGCAACGAAGCAAAAACTCGTTCATCTTGTTTGCCGAGATGGTTCTTTGCCTAGGATTACCCTGCAATGTAAGAAACAGAAACTTTATCTGATGTTAATGGGTTATAGTTCGTTGGTTGAGTCATTCTTATTCCATTTTCGAAGGCCTGGTCAGTATCACGTCTGTCCTCAGGTTGGTTCTAATCCAGGTCCTGCCTCCTTGGCCCACCCGAGTATATCTTGTGTGTTGTATTGACAACGTGCTTCGAGATCACGCATGAAGGGGTGTTAACCCTTCACATGGTGTGCTAGTTTTTGTATTTTATTTCACTGATTCCCTTCAGTCTTGGACTGACGAGCGTTCCCCAAGGCACAGGGGCTATGGCTAAGTATTGTAGTTTAGACTCAATTTAAATAGATTTCCTTTTAGATCGGCCGATATAACGCATATGCTGGAGAATGACCTGTCCGTATGCCACAATTCTTTCATTTCTGGCTTCAGGTCGTCGTATTGTTGAATTTTTCCCTCCCTCTTAGCATCGACGTTATGAGTGTTGGGGATAGATATATCTATGTGCTATCCCTGTCCTTATCCATGAAGGTCAAGTCTGGTCTATTATGTCCAACTTCCCTGTAATGATTGCTTTGTCTCTCCAACCGCCACCAGTCTGGTCTCATCATCGTTGGTTCGGTTTAAATCTCGATGGTAACTATGCAGCTTTTTGGTGGCTCACGTTTGATTTTTTTTCTTCATTCGTAATCTGGCTTCCCCAACTTAATTTCTCCAATTAGATTCACCGGCGTAAACGTTTGGTCTGCCTTAGCAACTGTTTGATGGAGGAGGTTCCATTTTTGGTAGAAGAAATGACGCAGATTTCGAATTTGTTGATAGCATTCATTAAGTATATCTGTAATACCTCTTCCTCCTTCATGCCTGAGGAAGGTTAGTTCTTTCAATCGACGATCTTGAGTGGTCTTTCCGAAATTTTGACATTGTATAAATTTTCTAAGTCAGTTTTAGACCAATGTACAACTCCAAATGAGTAATCGACAACCGGCATAGCCGTTGATAGCTTTAGTAGGAACGGTCGAGTTTAATCTTGTTTTGAGAAGAGCATTTAATATTTTTTCAATTTATCAGTAAGGATGTTTCTAATTTCAGCGAGTTGGATTTTATTTGTTTGTAGTAATAAGATATATTTGTAGAGCTAAATATTCATCGCGCTTATAGTGATATCCTCGTTTAAGGGAAGAGGGGCGTTATATGTAAGTTTTCCTCTCACTATTGTTACAGTCTAACATTTTGTGGTGCGCGATTAATATGAAGTGCAGCAACAGGGGATATTTGCAATCCCCGCTTAAAAAGTGTGTGCGTGAGTGGGAAAGACGGGCGGAAGACGTGCAACAAGACGGTGTGCATGGGGCATAGAGAAAGCCCCGCGATTGTTATTATTTATTTGAAAAATTGTATTGTTATTTTCAGTAAAAGTTTGGTAAGTGATTTGTAAATTCTCTGCGTTATTTACCGACGTAGAACCCCCGACACGATCCCTGGGATTGAGAGCACATCATGTGACTCAACTAGTGGCACGATTGGTGAAAGCTGTGAGTACATTTTATACATGAACATGTTCGTTCCTGCACGAATCCTCATCGCCCGTTCGTCGGTTGAATTTAGTACTCCAAAATCGAGTTTAGAAGATTTTGTAAATTACCGAATAGCATGAAACAAATGCAAGTTAGTATGGCACAGTTAGCCGACACCGTGGCCAGTGCTTTTAAAAAATCGCAAGTGGCGACTAATGCCATTTATATATCTTTCTGACGTAAATTGGCATCGACATTTCACCTGGACGATAGTGTACATCCAACAGTTTTTTTGAAAAAATTAAAGCAAAACGACGAAGCAAAAGTTGCGGAGGAAACTAAGGTTTCTTTGACTTTGACAACCTTGAGGGTCTCCGTAGATTGGAGGGTCGCCAAGGAAAGTTCATTTAAAAATTGAAAAGAGTTTACTGACTGTTTTAGAAACATATATTGGGGAATAAATCAAGAGCGCGACTTATTCTTCGCCATTAAATATGGCGGGTTCAAATCAGGTAACTGAGTACCTACGCAAAGGCAAACTAGTGGAATATCTCGCAAAACATTCTTCAGCCGATATATAAAGAGGAATATTTATTCCGGGTTTAAAAACAATAGATGAAGTCGAATGCTATTTAAGGAAATTAGATGATACGTTTGGGGGAGAAAGGTTGTGTACACAGGAAAAGGTCAGAAATGATGGTTTTAATAATTATTAGTATCAGTGGAGAGTCGAAATTTACCATCAAGTAGACAGGAAAATCAAAATATGAGTAATACGCAAGATTACAAAAATGATAATGCAAGAGAGGACGGTAGGTGAAACCGAAACATTCGATTTTTAACTAGGTCCGCGAAGTTTTGAGTGACGGGGATGAAAGTGACTCGAAGGTCTGGAAGGGACTGGAAGAGAGAGGAGAGGTCAAGGTAGATTTTACAAATACCAATTAAGATTCAAAAACAAAATAAAAATCAGATTCATGTTCACTCATTGCAGGATAATAAAAATAAACGACAGATTTAGGACTGAGAGAGGTAGCAAACAAATCGGACGTATTTGATGAAGAATATAAGGATAAGTTATATTTACTATTGAGCAAATTTTATTCAAATTTTCTCTTAAACACGCGGACTAACAACGAAATATGAAGACAAAATAAAAATGGGCGACTTCACATCATTTTTTAGAGCT